GTTCAGTGCCGTACAAGACAATCAAGCTTGGACCAAGAAATAGTTAACAATGGGTATACATATATTAGCACGGACATATCAGCACCACCTACTACTTGTGTATAGGTAAAAAGATATTTTTGTATTAAATTGGTAGAATCATTTTCGGATCACTGTCTACTGCTACTATGTATTAACCAAAGATTCCTGTATTTACTCGTATGCTATTCCAGCACCCGTTCATAGTGCGAAACCTTGTTGTGAAAAGTTAAAAAACGTACATAGGGTTTTGACCAATAAGCTTCAAGTTCGGCTGGGGCATATCTAGCGTACCAGGCTTTGAGCCAACGTAAGTGAGAAGGCAATAAACTTTTTGTGTCTTTTCTAAATATAGTTCAAGTTAATGTTAATAGATAAACATTAGTAACAGCGCATTACAATAATAATATATAAAAATAAGGGTTTCTGAAAACGTTCACATTTGCTTTTTCTACTTCTTCTTGCGGGTTGCCCCTATCTACAGGGCCGCACCATACAATATCGACCGTCGTAACTGCTATCATCTTGCCAATTTACAACTTTCTTAGTGCATTTTTGTCCGACCCACTCCCCAATACATGTTTCTTGTTTAGTTATAGTGGTACCACAAACACCCCAGGTGTCTATTATATATTTTGCCGCACACTCGTCCGTAAAAATCTTCAAAATTCATAAGTAACCTCCTTTGGACGGTACGCACAATTTCCTTGCTTCCTGCTACCTCTAACTGTGTGACCATTCGCTCGTTTGTCGAAATGAGCAAATACCGAAATCGAGGTCACTCCCGGTTATCATAATTAGTCCTTCAACTACTATCGATTAACGCACTAACGATATCTGCCCTTTTGCTGAGGCCATTAGTACAACTGTTACCTAACAGTTAGAGAATACGCTTGCTATAACTGCTCAGAGTTATAGAGAATCCTCAGAATATGTAATAAATTAAGTGCTTATTTTTTCGCCTGTATGTCTCATTTTGTCAGATTTACACGTAATCCATAGACAACCCTTGTCATAGAATTTCCACCTTATTCAATGTGATTGCTAAGTAGATGCGGGTGAACCTCGATCGTTTACGCTCGACCACAGTCGGCAATGAGACAGCCTTCGTGCAGACACCTCGATTTACTAATGACGCTATGTAACAAATCTAACATAAGAACTCGTCGTGGACACGATACTTCACTTCTGTTCATTTTCCGTAGATGCGTTTGAGTCTGTGACTTGAACTCGAGCCATATAACTGGCCACAGTTCAATCATATGAGCTAAATCTCGAAATATAATTAAGTGTAGTCTAGAATTTAATATATTATTCAATTACAGGTATAATTACCAATAATAATTACGATAGTCGAAAGTGTTTTCTCTTTTCTAGACAGTCTATTACTCTACTGAACTAATGTGGTTGTTCTTAGAAAACTCATTTCAAAACAACGTTCGAAACAAAAAAACATATTTTTTTGTTTTTTTTTGCAGAAATTCGTTTCTGTAAATTATATATCACCGCCGGCTGTAATCGCCTTTTTATAAACTGCAGCGTAATTATGTCAGAATAACCGTAACGAGTTCGCCTTTTCGCCCAGGCTTGGTATTTACTCACTGTTGAATTTCTTTTTCCAAAAGCGGTTTGATACTGCGCCTGCAGTACACGGCGTAACAAAAGTAGGAAGTATCGATCTGTCTATTTAAACGATTTCAGTTATTTCAAGTGAGATCAGGAATCATAATCGAATAGGCCCATTGTGATATCTTGCAGTAATATGGGAGTTAAATATACTAACTTTGTCCAGTAATGACCAGGACAATTCAGGACTAGTATATATAACAAGGCATGGGTTCGAAGTCGGGAATTCGCAATTGGACCAGCGCTCTTAACTCACTCAAGGGCAGAAGAAGTGGCTCTGAACTCGAAGCACTTATATTTCTCATTAATCCCGCTAAGCAATTTATATGTAACTAGGTGACTGAAACGCACGTAGCTTGTTCGACACACGTCGATGTGATGGACGCATTATCGAGCGTTCAATTGCTAAAATTTACACGCAACACGCGATCTAAATAGAGGCATCAGGTACCATCGATGGACGAATATCATTGTTACTATGTATTGTGTCACCTCGCTCTATTACACTTAATTAACTATTGTGCTATCTTACCATAACAAAGGCAGTATGCACTGTCTAAACATTAACTGTTTTGCCCCGCACCTGCACGCGACGAAATGCTTCTATTTATGACACCTACTTCTCACTCCAATATTCCACAGGCTATTTTAGATTCTACGAAAGAGCAAAGAGCCTAGAAAGGAAGCGAGGGCCAAATTGTATTTTTTTTTTCTTAGAAGAGCCTCCCATATCCGGTTCTTGAATACGTCTCTTGTGCTCTCTCTTGCCAATCCTTGCCTCGCTTCGAGCCAAGCGATTCTCTATTTCTCTACTTCTACCTTATCGTACGCCCCGTTGAACCCCCTCCGTCTCGTTTACTATCTCACTTACTCTTTCTTTCTCTTCATTTCTGTTGTTTTCAACACTGTGCAGATTTTCTGAATATTCCGAACAGTGCCACCCTGTAACTCAAAGCAGACGTTTCTCGCTACCAGTTCTTTCAGCACTTGGATTGAGCCCCACGCTCTAGGTTGCCAAAGCTTTGTCGGGGCTTCGAGCTTCTTCGAGGTTCCCCTTTCATCCCTCGCATTCCTCGCTCCCTTCCTTTTCAGTTAGGTTGGAGCAGACGCATTCGCTCGCCACCTCGCTACCTTCACATCTTGCCTTCACCTCTTCACTGGCGGGAGTTAAAACGTTTTAGTCCCAGTCTACAGGCTGCAAAAGCTTCTACGGCGGTGCTGTCGGGAGAAAGAACCGGCCCGCTAGCCAACTGGCCCCGAGTATAAATCCGTACGGGAAATCCATTTATAAGTGCAGTCTTCGGGCCGCCTCAACCACCCAACCGAACCGACTGCCGGTAGCAAACCAAAGCCTCCTTCTTTAGCCAGCTGCCCACCAAACCCGCAATCGGCGGTGGTGCGGGCCAGTGGTGCCTACATATAGATCCCAGTTGAGCACCGCTAGCTGTTTAGCCCGTCGTTCGCTAGTTGATTCGCTGGCTCGAGATTTGCTCGTTTCCTATCGTTTACCAGTGTTGTCTGTAGACCATGGGTTTCCTCTTACTGCTTGTCTTTAGCCCGTTTCACCTCTGTCCGTTTCCCCACCGCTTTTGGCTTCTCCATCTTTCGCCTAGCTACGCGTTGCTTGAACCATTCCCTAGCGTACCCGGCCCGCGTTAGACCTTTCCTGGTAGCTGATGGTGCTTTCTTTCCCTGTCGCGGCCACGGAGCGAACAAGGCAAACTCGCGCGAAGTAGCGAACCTAAGACGCGGACGGCGGCGAAAAAGCTAGGGAAAGTGGGGTATCAGAGTCCAAAGTTATTACCGCAGCAGCAGATACCGCCACGAGCAGGACCCACAGGGTGGCACCGAGTCCCGTTAAGCGAGCTATTGCCTGCATTGCTGGTCTAGGCGTTGTACGGGGTCGGGCGCAGGCACGGGTTCTATGCTGCAGCAGCAGCAGCAGCAGCAGAAAAAGGAAAAAGAATATGATCAATCGAGGACGGGGAAACGTAGTATTTGTGCCTCGCTCACTGCCGGCCTTGGCTGAGGGCTGCCCAATCGGCGTCCGTGGGCCGGCACAGAGCCCCACTTCGCGTAGCCACAACCATCTCTAAAGCGGCTCGGTTAGCAGTAATAGTGGCAAAGGCGATGGTCGTGCTCAGCCACCGGTGGTTCGCTAGATAGGAAGCAGTGTCGCCGTTCGCGGAGTTCTGTTACCATACGTGCAGTGAGTGCCCAAAAATCTCTAAGGAGGCTGGCACTCTGGGTGGTTAGAATGGCAGAGGCAACAAACGCCTTGGATTCGATCAACGCAAATAGAGAGAATGGCCTGACCGAATAGAGGACTCTAACACTCCAATATTCGCGTACGGAAACCGACGAAATGGGCGGGTGGGTCGTAAATGGGAGCAGTGTCTGAAAAATGGAGCTGGCAAGTGCCACTTTTGACTCATTCTGTTCGACGATTGCGACCACCATTCTGTCCGTCTTGTGCTTTGCTGCGGTCGCGACGCCGCATTCAGATCAATCATCCTGTTCTATTTATTACCTGTTGTCGTTTGTTGTTATCTCGTCAACGAAAGCAACAGTGGTCTTTTATGATCGAGTCTATTATTTATCTATTACATATACAGTAGAAATATGATGGAAAATGGATAGTTTTTTGACGATGCGAGTTTTTCGACTCTGTCGCATTTGGGAGATATAGCACACGAGGCTTTAGGTGAGCTTGGCCCTCCCTCTGATGGCGAATCCGCTTGAAGAAGCACGTCAACAGGTTGTTGCAACTACAAGAGCTAATGAACATAACTATTTCCCTTACGGCGCCTATCATTTGATGCACGAAGTGGAACTAGCCTTGAGGTTACAGTTGCACGATGGCTGCAACTAACCGTACTTCGAACGGTGTTTATATCATTTTCAATACACTTATATATGTGATATCGTTATTAATCATACGCGTATATTATGAACGCGGACCGTATCGTAAGACTCAACTGTTCATGTTACCTATATTCTTCGACGGGCTCTTTGTTACGATATTCTATAGTAATTATATTACTTTCGCTGCTAGATACTAGATGCTAAGTTCTTGTAGATAAAAGAACAGAACTGTATAAGGCATTATGTAAATTACCGTACAGCAAAACAGTTAAAATCAAGGACTTACCTACTCTAATCGGTGCGTCTATGTCGTTCTTCATCATTCTATTTGCCAATTTTAGAGCTTTTGTTTCTACCTGTTACCAAATAGCTCTAATCGGTGGGCGTTCGACGTCTGTACCCGCTAACTAGAACCAGCAAACACGGTAAAAGCGTCCGCCGTTAGAACGATATCTAATAGATGCTTTGCGATAACGAATCGGACGGTTACTCTTAGTTGACAAAACTTTGAAGTAAGAGCTTGCAATAATCTTCGAATTGACAACAAACACCTATCTGGCTATTACTTTACGTCCTACAGTGAAAAGTAGGGCCACAAATAAGTGTCCGTCTCGAGGTACGTCGTCCGAAACCGTTTACGTAACGGTCTAAAATTTTGAATAACTTCACAACAAGGTACCATTAGCAGGCAGGATTTGATAAACACTACGCTAATGTTTCGCTTTCGACGATTCTAAACGAATAGGGAGTATCAAAGAATAATGAATCGAGAACTAAATATGCGGCTGAATGCGAAAATTAATTGTTTTTATTATATGTAGTGATGTGGGTTATGATGATAAGAGCTTTGGGGTTTCTCCTCAAAGATTGGTAAGGAAACACTAGGCCACTAGTCTAAGACCACGAAGGACACAGCTATGTTTCAGAACCGCAAGCAAGAGAACAACTCCATGTGAACCTCGTGAGCACCAGAGCGCATGGATAATAAACTATTGGGCGGCTCATTATGAATTTCGACGAACCGTGTGTGTTGAAATGGTAATGTAATCTGAATACGAAAAGCGACGTATCATTGCTCTATCGTACTTCTACTTGTTCAAGCCCCCCAAATAGTTCCTCAATTTCAATATATGTTTTCGTTATGGCACCTCATATATGGTTACGCAACGTCGCGTGTTTGACATCATTCTTACTTCGATTTACTGTTGAATGCAAAACCCAGCCTTAAAGTAACAAATACAAGAACAGCGAATTAACGCTATAATAAGGCATGATATTTTGTTAATAATAATATTTGATTGAGTGCTTGTTCGCTTGTATCGAGGGTGCCCAAGGGAAAAACGACTGCATAACAGTTCAGCTTTTGCTCACTACAGGTATACTCTACGAGCTTTGGTTCCGCTGACTTTGTTTCGACTCCGTCACGATCACAGCCGTTTACTATCGACTAGTGTAAAATGTTATGGCTATTAAAAGCGGTTGAAGATATTTCGGTCTACAACGATACATACAGCTACGCAGAACTAGGAACACGGGTCTTGGCTATTTATAAGATCTATCAACAACTTCTCCTGCTGTCTAGCCTTTCGTCTTGACACCATCTAAATTGTCGGTCTAAGCTGACTACCTGACTCGCTTACGACTCAACGACTTTTCTGAATTTCCTTCTTTCTTACTATGATTGCCTCCCTGGTAAGAGGCAGTAGCAACACAGCCGCGTGGCGGAAGATTCGAACAAAACAGAACAACGTAGACACAACTGTGCGCGTATTCGACAGAGCACGAGCCAGCTCGACGAGGAAGGCCCGACCCTGTTCTGTGGCCTTTGGATTCAGTTTCACTTCGCACGTTCCGTTCGCTGATGACATGTGAGATTGTGTGGGGGGTTTGAGCGTTGGCTAGGTAGGACCAGGCTGGGACGATCTACGAGGAGTTCCCCAGGACGGGATGTATACGGCTCACGCTCCGCCTGCTGCTTCTGCTTTTCCGGCACCCAAGGAGCGGCTTGTCCAAAGATCATTCGTCCTATAAGCGCCCGCCGCTATCTCGACGCTAGTGCTGATGATGGCAGTGGCGGTTGTCGCTCGTCCGCTAAGCTGGCCGGCCGACCGACCGACCGACCGACCAACCAACCAACGCCTTCGTCGTCACTAGGACAGGAAGTCATCAAATTCGCTTCCTTGGGAAGCAATGGGTACAGCGGCCCGAGCACACGGCATGACTATGGCATTGCGCTCGGGGATACGGCGGGCCACCGTCGTTGTCGGCTCCCTGTCATTTTGTTGTTCGGCCGTCGTTGGGCTATTCTGTGCGACGGGGAAATCCGACAAAAGCACCGACCAAGCGCCTGAGCGATGGTGAATCGACAGTAATTTGAATAGGCGACACTGGGGACGACAAGAAAGCAAACCTTCACTGCTGCCGACGGGATTACTGTTTCTAACAGGAATCCCCTTCTATTTTACAATAGATAGCCGACTAACTTTTTTCTTCAATAGGACGAAACTACAGTTGAGCGTCTGCTTAAAACTGGGTGCATGCTGTTATAAGCGCCCCCTTTAGTGCCCTAGTGAGAGTGCTGAGGGAATCAAGCTGCCGGTCTGCTTGTGCGGAGGTCTACAAGCTTATCATAAGCGTCTGCCATGAAATAACCATCGTCGAAAATTGTCATTGGTCGGTAATATTTAAAAGATCGACCCTCTTTGAATCTCATGCACATTCATACCTTGAAGATTATTATTATTGTTCACTTATTTACATATATATATATATATATATATATATATATATATATATACATATTATACGCCTACTGTTGTTTTGTTGGTACCAGCATCGATGTTGGCAGTCGATCGAAAGCTGGTGTTTTCGAAATGTCTAAGGTAATTTACGATAACGTGTCGCTAAAAAAATAAGCTATCGTGACCAATGTGCTGATGAAACGATTCATCATCAGCGTATTCTGCTTAGTCCCAAGTCAATACCTGTCACAACGTATAACAGCCATACTATTGTCCATCTTAGCTGAAACCATATACCACTATGTTAAGAATGATTAGAAAATTGCCGGAATTAGAACAATCAAAATGGGGGCACCCCTTAAACAGTTTAGAAGTTTGCGATCCGCCTTAGCACTTGATATACCGATACGGAACCACGACAAAATAAACAGCTAAACCCAGTATAACTAGATCTATCCGAGCAATTGCATATGATGAAAGGGGAGTTATGCGACCGTTCTCTCTTGTTTTCTAATTGTTTCAGGCTTAGGTCCTTCCTTGGATATATTCTATCATCGCTAACGTGCCTGTTTGCTCTGAATTCTAGGCGAAGGATCAGTCTCGTTGCATAAACTTTGTGCATGGACAGTCCGTATTTGACGGAACACTGTTCTGTGCAAACACAACACGCGACCCCCGCGATCCGTTTCTCACGTTCGTTCTCTGTCTCATTCACCGACACCAACAAGCTGTGCCTTTGGTTGGTTCACTCAGCGTCGGTCGGCCTACATGCAAACATCTCCGTGTGTTGTAAGCCCGACACCATATATTATTCGCCATATAAGCTTCGGTCTCTACCCGCTGCGTACTGCCTACTGGGTATTTTAATTTATGAACCATGGTAGAAATGCGTGCATGCAGTTATGCCTTGAGATGGACTCAGGATTGATGCCACGCATGACCCACGGATATCAAGTATTTAAACTTGGACACAACTGCCGCATCCGTTGCAGTTATTAAACATCCGAACACCTTTCCGCACATAGAGGCAGAAAGAAGAAGAGAAAGCAAGCTTACTGAAGCACATAGTATTGACGATTTTAAGCGAAAGACAAGTTCTCCTTCTGATCGATCAAAATTATCATAGAGATATGCCATGGCAAAGTTATATATCCGGATAGGTCCTGATACATCTTTGAAGGCCTCTCATCTATACAGGAAACATAATCTCACGATATCTGTATGGAAGCAGGCTGAGAGCCTGCTTGAAAAGAACTGCATGTAAACAGTTTCCGAGCATTTAGTGAGCAGAAACTATACGTCGTATATACATAGGTTCTAACTTACTGTTCATATCACTTTTTCCGCCATTAATCGGAGCACAGTGGCGTAAGAAATCCAGCTGTTACGGTTCTAACGTTCGGGCTCCCCACGTTCGTTCGACGTTTTAACCATTTCTCTCTTTCCTCAGCTCTCGTCCAGAGCCCTTTATATCCAGATGTTTGGGTGACGAAGCTTTCTTTCGACACTGGCTCCAGCAGCAGCAGCAGCAACGATGCTTGCACAGTACTCTGCAACCCTACATAACTTTTGCAGGACTGTCCCTCTACTGCCTTGTTTCTTACTCTAAAATTAGCATTTCAAAAAAGCGTGCCATGTCGCCACCTAGCTCTATCTCGAAGAACATAGGCAGGAAAAACATAGGAGAAACATAGGAGTTGAGGTTTGCGCGAGTCAAGGGCTCAGCGCGGGTTCAGGGTAACTGAGGGAAAGATGGAGCAAACAAATAAGAGAAAAGCGTGCTATTTAGAAGAAAAGCGAACGCAGAGGATGAAGAGTTCTTCTTTTCCTTTGTTCACAACATATTGCCCCAAGAGATTTGCGGCGTAAACCATCCTGTGCTCCTAGCGTGTTATTGTTGCGGGTATGGGGACTAGGTATGTCTACAAAGAAGGAGAGAAAAATAGGACTTTACAACGTTACGGAACGGTGCACGCCAGCGCTACCGATGCTCTACTTAGACAAGTGAGTTGTAGCAGCCAATAGTTATGGTCGGTAAGGGTCAATGCAAAAACCTACACTGCGTTACGGTTGATGCAATTGTTAGCTGAGTTGCTGGGCGAAAGGCTGGCAGATGGCCTGTATTGTAAGTTTGAAACTTCGCAGCACAACAAAGAAACTAGCGCAAGGGAAGACAGACCTCCGATTGGATATATTGCAGCAACTCGAAGAGAATAAGCGTCGAAAACGAAAACATAAGGCTGAGTACACAAAAAGAATGCGGCAAAGTAAAGTATACGCACTAAAGATAGACCTGTCTACGAGAAAGAAAAAGTATAAGCCGCATTGGGGAGCCAGCACATGCTATTTGCTGGCAGCCTATTTGGGCAAGAAGTCTAAACAGGACGTCTTCTTACAAATAAGACAATTTGTCGAGTAGGAGTAGGTTCATCGGCACTGACCGGATGACCACGGACATACGACCCAGTGCCATGAAACTGGAAGGCTTCGCGACTTCTGCACCTTAGTCTCTTCTTGCATCTATCTGCAAGTATATGGGCGGGCTAGCCCATGTTAACGATAGCGAGCAACCGAATCTAAAGCACATCGACCCCACGTTGATACTCGAAGGGGACAAGGGCCGATGTCGAGGACAGCAGTCGCACAGACAGACATGTTCCTTCTACATAGAAAACGTGGATTGACTGACAGTCGCGCAAATGGAGGCAACAACCTCCGTCTATTGGGAGGAATCGGGGGAGCACTATACCGCCTTCAAGGCACGCTACCCATGTCTCCAGTTCTGAATCTAACCCATCTCCCGCTCAAGGCTTGCATGGCTGCCACCTAGCAACAACTTAAGTTAGTCCGCTTCCACTTTGTCCTTAAAAACGGTGCCGCCTTTCGTTGGATCTGACGCTGGCGGTTACCGCCACCTTCCACTGCGCCTCTCAAAAACAGAAACGTCGTGACAGCTAATATTGCCATTCAACAATAGAAGAGGACGACGACGATGAAGGGGATAGGATAGCAAAGGGGCCTCCTTTTGTTCTTGTTCTTCTTTTCCGTCCTCTTTGCTTCTTTAAGGGGAGAACGGCCCAAGACGAGAAAACCAGGAGGGTCGAATTGGCATATCGACGGAACAGAGACCTGAAAGAAGAAAGCGGCGCCAAAAGAGATAGACCGAACCGAAAAGGTCGAATCACAGGAGAGTACATTTCAGAAAATTCATTTCGACAACTTCTGCGCTCGGACCAGGCAGACCAGTCGACGGCCCGGAACCCGCCTCGCTACCAGTGAAGTCTCGCCTCCAGGCTTTTTTTGCTCGTCGCTTCCATACTACGGCCGCATTGCTTCTGCAGGACTGCCAATTTTGTCCGAAAAGGTCGAGTCGGCTCGTCTGTCCAACCTGACCCTACCTATCGAGTAGGGCGAGTTCACTCGACAGCATACCCTGCGTGAGGATCAGACCAGATAGAAGCAAAACGCAACAGGATGCCAATATCGAACGCATGATACAGCAAGGCGCATCTGAACATGTCGAGCCTCAAAAAAAGGGAAGATCGAAAGCCTGAGGGTCTGAGGACCCGTGCTCTTATAGGGAGAGGGGTGGTAAGAAACGTTGATCCCAGCAAGCCCACCCTGATTTTTTACTTTGTTAACACCCAGTGTATGTACAGGTAGAATATGAGTCGCGAACGTAGATCAGAGAAATAACTATTATATGGAAGAAGTATATATAAGAGACTTAAGATACCTTAAAATTGGCTGACAGTTTGAAATGTTTTCAAGATTATTATATTATAATCATTCCAAGATTATGTACCCCCCCCCCCCCGCCCTTGTTAAAATTCGTAGTAGCAATTATATATTTAAGGGGGGTGTGTCTTGCTTACTAACCTTCACCGATTTATATTTATCTTGTCGGAGGGTGCCAATTGGGGCTGTAACGAGGGCATCCAACGTGCAATATAAGCAACTTGAAGCATGTGGTGCCTTTGACGCAATATAATATTTGATAGGAATTGGTGCCGCAGAATTTCATAATGTTTCAGTAGACGTTGCGTTCATCCTAAATACACCATCAATTTATAGATACGTGAAACAAAATCCTCCTAGCTTACCATTGTATGGATCCAACTGTTTATTAAATTCAAGGCCTCACTTGTCGCATTTTTACGACAGAGGTATCTAAGATTAACAATCTTAGATACCTCTGTCGAGGTATAATATTTATACAGCACGTAATTAGAAATCTCTTCTGATAACCTGGGAAAATTATGAACATCAGCCCTTTTTGAGTCAGAGCCTCCACTACGATACCACGAGCCTTCGAAAATATGTACAGCTGCCAGGAATTGCAGTTCATACAATGCTAAATAAGTGCAGTAAACAGCAAAGGCGTGAATCCGGAAAAGTGGCTGATCCGACAACCAATTTTATATTCTACATTTTTCAAAGCTGCGATATGAAATAGGTTGATGTACGTACGTATATTTACAGCAAAGCTCTAAAACAAAGTGCGCTAACAAGCAAAGCTTCCGTTGTTCCAGTTGTATAGCTGCTGATTCGATGGGGTGATTGCCACCTAAAATAATGATACAATTTGATAAAAGATGTACATTTTAGTGGCAGTATTTAGAAGAACAAGAAGAAATTACTGTTGGTAAATGTGTCACGTTTTAAACGTTGAAAGCACTGTCGTCTTTTTCAGTAGGTGATCCCGTATTATTATTGATTGGTACTTTATACTGTTGAGCTGAGGGACCTTAGCTGATAGATTTCAATATTTTTATTCCAGCAGCTAAAACTGATACCGGCTTCACTAAATAACATACAGCACCTCCAACGGTTACCTTGAAGTTTCTTTTATTTGGACGGGTCTCAGGCTTTCACAGTATCCAGTGCACTAGACTGAGAAAGTTATGTACGTTCATTCGCCATCGGCTTTGCCACCGCTAGCGTTTCTACAGTCACGAGCTAGGCATAGACTGTGGCGTTGATGTAGCGCCTTGTAATAAATAGCAGGAATAAATTCAAATCAACTACAACTACTCGTTCACTTTCCTGTTCTTTCCGTCGCAATCCACGTATAGAGTCGACTCTAGTCGCCTCTTTTGCCTTTGCCTTCATTCGCCAGCTAGATTTAAATGGTGTTGTCTGCTCTTGTGCCTTTCTCATTCCTTTGATGCCACTTGCGCCGGCCTCTTTGCAAAATTCGCTCCCACGGATGCTCGCCCCCGAGTCTACTAAGTAGGACCAACTCGCAGTCCGAAAGGGCCTGCAAACATACAACACTGTACAAGAGGACTAGGAGTAGGGCATATATAGGCTTATTTTCTCTGCTGTGACCTTTTTCATGGCTACACCATGCTTTCTGGATCCTGTTCTACGACAATTTTGACGGGCTTGGCCTGTCCTTTTTCTTCCAGCGTGTACACCATCTCTGCACGAGAGTGCATATATTGGCCGAATTCTGCCGCGCATAGAAGAGCATATTCCCTCGGCTGGCGCGACAAGTGTAAGCGCATGACCGTTCAGCTGTTCAACCGTCGTTGCAGCGAGCGCCTTCTTCTCCAGCGCTACTACTTAGGTTGCTCCCACACTAAAAAGTACGTTCCCAGCTTCGATCTTGACTCTTGGTCTGAGACCTCCTATGCCTCTCCGTAGTCCTGGACGACCGCTTGCACCATCTTGGTTCCAACGGTTTCGATCCCGTCCAGGAGCAAGCCAACAGTAAAGTATTGCCGCAAGCCAGCAACTACTCCGAGGAACGAAACAAGCCAGTCAGCTTTTTTTTCGTAGTCAGGGGAATATGTATTTCGAAACTGAAAGCGAGTCTCTTGCGAACATTGGCTTGACGCCCCCTCAAACTCTCTTTAGGCGCCTTCATTTTCCTTCTTACAAGATGACTGTTATAAAAAAAAAAAAGGGGACGTCCACCCGCTGAATTTTCTTCTCAACGCCGCCTACAGCAGTCTGCGCATATCCGTCCAAGCAACAATAGCAGCATTCAAATTATATTTAGCTTTGGTACAGTTGCGCTACTTTAAAACACGAGGTCCTCAGTGGCAGGACGGGTTTTTGTTCGGGCCTTAAATATGTTTTACAGCGAAAGGATATGGGACAGAAATCCAGATACAGATTTACTGTACCATACAAAGCCTTCTGCGATGATTAGCAGTGAGATTCGATTAGAGGCCAGCTAACTCCGGACTTGAGTGATGTTCTGAAAAAACCAATTGGTGAAAGATAAATTGGTTAAATATTATAATTTTCTAAGGTTTTCCAAAGCCTCTCTACGAGCCTTCTGCGACGGTTCTGATCTTCTCAGTGCTCACATATAACTTACCCATTTAGTTTCTAACTATATTTGTCTATAAACGCATATCAGTAGTAAGAACAATGAAAGCAGGATACGTAAGAGCTGAGACGTCTACGGTGAGTCTTACGTAGTTACTGGTCAGACGCTACCCACAAGGTTGGCCTAAGCTGAGGGCGATCTCTGTGCTGCTAATGTGGGCTTAATGCGGTTTCTTTCGCGGTAGAGAAGCTAGCAGGTAATTCGGAACGTCTTCTGGAGGAATAGGATTTTCCTATGCTAGCGCAGCTGAAGTTATTCAAGCCAAAGGCTTCAGGCTTTCGCTTGTAGGAATGGCCTAGCGGTTAGGACGGTCGTTCATCAGACGAGCTGAATGACCTAATCCTCTAAATTATTTCAAGGTTAAAGCTGTCCTCTTCCTTCCTCTTGAATTTATTAGCAAAATGATTCTCTAGATCTTGTAGCAGATGGCAGATTTCATTGAAGAAAGTTAAAATTGAATGGGTAAGACTGTTCGAATTAGTTATCTTTGCCGACGCAAACTGATCAACTGTAATAATCAAACAAAACATTGAATACGCTACGCCACGCTGCTAGTCTTAGTTCTCGTGCTTAAGTTGCATCATGGGAAATGTCTTTCCCTCTTTGTAGATGAACGCTGTCTGATCCAATCAATAATGATAGAGTTATGGTTTGATAACTTTTACTGCCTAGCTCAGTACGTGTGATACGTATATTTTTAAGAATCGTCTGATTGTGCATGATCGTTTTCTGATCAATATTGACTCTTCAAAAAAATCTGTGTTAAACAGAGCCTTAAGATCAGTGAATAGATATAAATAGGGCAGAGATATTAGCTGATGGCTTGGCAAGCTGAACATTTCAGTGCTTTAGAACTAAAAGACGCGTAATAGAAGAGTTCGAGTACCACCCTTGCCGCATCTGTTGCTCTTATATGCTTTAGCTAATAAAACTGAAAAATACAGATACCATAGGGGGTACCATAACCAAATTGTTGGTTTCATCAATGAATGGTTAGTAGCGTAGTTCATATATTTATTTTAATTGTAAAAACACGTACAATTGAATAAAGGACGGATATACATATACCTGTTGGTTTCACAGAATAGCCTCACGTTAATCTTACAGACATGCGTAACAACGTAGAAGCGACTTCTACTTCGAGAACTGAAGCGAACTCTACTTCGAGAAGATCTGTCAGTAGACAAAAGCAACAGGGTAAATGAACACCTCTCCAGTTATATTTATGAATGACAAATGAGGTTTAGACACGTATTTCCAATATTTTTTGTACAACAAAACCCCTGTATTATTTGTTGTAGGTCGTACTTCGTAAATTATAATGTCCCGCTCATTTCTTTGTGTAAACATGCGTAAATATCGTTAATGGTTTGTTCCATCGCCGCTCTGGTTCCAGGGCGACCCACTACCCAGTGATAGGGGACGCAGTTTAATAGTGATGAAGATTTATACCTAACCCATATGGGCAAGTAATCAAGAGCTTAAGACAAACTCAGTCCTCATTTGTATTTAGTAACTCCAGCTTACAACTCATGACTGGACGCTCTCTACATGATCTGAAAACATCGTAACGTATGACGGAATTTACAGATTATATTGCCGCGCAGCGGACTTTTCCTAAAGGCATCTACCTTTTTGGACGGTTCGCCATTATAACCTACCTATCTATCTAAATCGAATTCTGCTCATTGTGGCACCAAGAGGTTTTCTTGTAATTGACTCACATAATTATCTGGACGATAGGATTTCCGAACGGTGAAACCGAAAACAAGATTGTGTATAACGGCAAGCTCATGATCGACACCATATGACCTCCCTTGCTACAACCTATCGCTTTACTCATCAACTTCCACATATCTAGATCATCCAGAGAGACCTTTTATGCTTGGCTTATTTTATGAAGTGTCATAATTTATGGCAACACGAATTTCTCTGGTGTGTCAAACGTTTCTGTCAGTACCGGCTGACGGCGTCTCAGAAAAACCGAATGAACAGTTAACGGATCGTTCTACAAATCTTTATTTTTATCTATGCATATGACGTTGTGGTTACTGCCGACATGGATCAATCAGGTTCCAATACGTAGCTAATAACAGTAATGCGTAACCAGGATCAGCTACAGAATCTCCACGCTTCGCTAACACTTGAGGGCACTTGTATGCGTGCGGGATATTCCATCACTTAAAATAACTCTGGGCCAATTAGATAAGTAATACAAGTAAACAACCTCAGTAAAAGTTCCAGGACAGATACACTAAATGCAATGCCGGGTGATTACGTAAATACGTACAGAAGTAGAACTGAAGTCGCTGTGAGCATCTCTAATATCATTGCGTCTCTGATTGCAGTCGCTAGACCGACGACGCATCGGTACGTGATCTACAT